CTCGACGGGAGCCCCCTACTGGCCTGCCTCTAGCGCGCTCGACGGGAGCCCCCTACTGGCCTGCCTCTAGCGTGCGATAGATGGGAGCTCCTGTCTGGCCTAAGACTTCTTGTCCAACCTCCTAAGTTGCAGAGAATGTCACTGAGCTGGCCAGTGGGCCCTGAGCAGTAGCTGTTGCCTTACTATTCCAGTCACTTTGCAAGCCAGCAGTATCTTTCCTCTGTAGCATGTCACATGCTTAGTTAGGGGCCAGGAACAAGTTTACATTACAGAGCTCTGACGAGCCAAATGGATGGAGAACATAAAACCTGCTGTAAAAATTAGAACTGGCTGCTCAGTATGCAGCACCCATTGTCCCTCAGCAAAAAGCAAAGGCACCCTTACTCCACCAGCACTGCCATCCAAGCCCTGGCTCTACCCCTGAAAGTCAGCCGCAGTGCATAGACCCGCCAGCTCGTCCTCAACCACCTGTGAAAGGCTAACTGGATGGGAATCCTGCTATGATACGGTAATATAATATATTATTAGACTAATAAAATACTAATATGATACAGGAATGGGAAGCATATCATAACTCCTCTGTGGCTAATACAATGCAAGCAATAAATCACTCCCAAGGCTTAACCTTAACAATTGTATAGTGCGTTGTGTGTCATGCGGAGAACTCTGAGCTGAGGGTTCACTTTTCTTCACAGTCCATATGGCAGTGACATTAAAGCTAATGAAATAAAATAAAATTTGCCAATCTTTGAAGAATTCCAGTCTTTAAAAAGATGTATTTTTATTAACACAAACTGAAAACATTTCCTGTTAGTTGGAGTTATTTGTATCACGGTGGCAATACATGGCCTAAATATCGGCATCAGCAGCTTAGAGCCGACACTCCCATGTTGCATTTGCAAGCCACACCAGTTCAGGGTAATGCTGTGAATTTCAGCCCCGGCATGTTTAATGCCATCACTGGAGCTGTGTGGCTTTTAAATGGTAGTTAGTCTCCAGCAGTTTAATGCTCAGGTTCACAGTGTCTGCAGCACTTCTCCGGCTAAACCAGCCCCATGTTTCCTCCTGGCTGGACTCCCTTGGATTCACTGCCTCGGCCCTTTCTGGACAGAGCAGCCCTCACCGCGGCTGAGGTCAGAGACACAGGGAGCCGTGGGCCGGGAGTTTGAGGTCTAAACAGCCAAAGCAGAAAAATCATTTGCTGCTTTGATTTTGGCACATAAATGTTTGTTGTGTTTTCCTTCCTGCTGTATGTGGAAAGTCGCAACTGCTACTCAAGGCACTCTGCAAGTCGTAAACACTGCAAGGAACACTTGAACTCTCTCTCTCCAAGAGCTAAGTAGCTTGTAAGAGAGCTCCATGTAAACGTCCTCAAACATGTCGCCCTGGCTGCTGGGGCCGCTTCACAAATCCTCTTATAAGACACTCAGGGCTCCTAAGCACTTCTTCAGTGCATTGCCCTGGCCGTGCGCTCTTCCTCCTCCTGTAGGTTACCTCAGGAACCAGCATCAACCTTCAGGGACCTCCGCTGGCAATCAGACTCCTGCTGCTCCTGCTCGTCCTCCAGAGGGTCTGACTGCAGGCTGGGCTTTCCAAAGCACCTACGTGATTCAGCAGCTTGCAGTGTGGCCTAGTGGATGGGCACAGGACTAGCACTGAGCATACCTAGGCTAGTTCAGACTCTGCCCCCGCGACCGCTGGGCAACCTTGGGCAAGTCACTGCCCTGCTAGGTGGCTCAGTTTCCCAATTTGCAAAATGGGGTTAATGATCCTGCCCTCCTTCTGCAACGCACTTTGGGATCGGCTGGTGGGACGTGCTGTGTAAGAGCCAGGAGGTTTAGTGTTATTATTAAGTTACATAGACCCCTTTGAAAATCTCAGCCTGAGTGTCGCTCTGCAAGACCCCAGTACAAAGCAAATTGGCTGCAAAATGCTCATCCCAGCGGAATATTAGGGTTAGGGTATGTCCATCTCCAGCTCAAGACATGAGGGCCTGATTCGCATTATACTAGTGCCCTTTTCAATGCCATGGCAGCACAAAGGGGCCCTCAAGCAGGGAATGCCCACTAGCATTCCCAAGTGACGGCCACCAGGCACTGATGAGACAATACTCCAAAGCCATTTTGGTTAGAATAACTATCATTACTATGGACAGGTAAGAACCTGGACAAACGGCCTTAAGATGTAACTGCTAAACAGCACCACTTCTGGGGAGCAAAGGAAGCCCTTCACCCCACACTCAGAGTACACGGCCCATAGCACCCGAGAGGACCTCACTGCTGATCAGAAAACTCAGCTCAATGTACAGGACCAATAAGCTTTGGCCGAATTCTTACCAAAGTGATTATTACTCAGTTAGGCTTAGCCCAGTTCTTTCAGCATTTAGCTACTAGGAAAAACACCAGACCATCCAAAGGCCTTAGTCTCATACTGGTCCTTTCAGGAAACCTTTCTGATGTGTGAGCAATCCTCAAGGATAACATTTGTATTATTTGCCATGTAACCACGTGACTGTTCTCCAGTATAAGGAAAGGCCAAATTGCACTTGTAATTCAAAGGACCCACAGCCTTAATGTTGTAAAGAAGCACTCTAATGATGCCCGATGGGCACAGGGCATGCAAGTGCGGCCCAAAGGTTGTTGATGGCCTTCCTATGAACCTCATCAGTATATGACAGGTTTTTGCCTGTGGCCAGCAACGATGTGATCAAGATGAGGGACGTCTGTGTGTTCGTTATGCTGCCTGAGCCTCCGCTGACACACTTTACATTTCAAATACTATTTCCATTGAGTTCTAGTAGGAACACAAGAGTGTGTGGCGTTTGAGAGCTCCATTAGCACATGTATATTGTTTTGTTCTATTTCTTCGGCACACAGGAGGTCTTCTGAGGTCTACAGACCCCCTTGCTCCAATGTTGATTAATTGGTAACGAATGCTTTGCAGAGGACGGTATTTACTTATTTATTTAAATGAGCCCTCTGTAGCCAAAGCAGCAATTGTGATTTCTAAAACTGATGAAGAGTGCGCCAGTAATTGTGCATGTGTGATAAACAAACACAAAAGTTGTGTTGACTGATGTACACGGGTGTCTGGAACAATGAGGAAGATAAATTGTGTTCACTGTGTTTTGGGGAGGAAACAAAGATACGTCACAAAATTACTTAGCACAGGGACAGTTGATAAGAAAAGCTGACCCACAAGCTAATTGAATCATGCAAATAATCATTTAGCTGCCAAATCAACACCTATGGGCACAAGCAGCTGACTGAAAAGTAAATGTGATAGTCAACTATTTTACAGCGTTTGCATCTGCACTGCACCAATTTAGGATGAATCGTTGTGCTAGTTATACCTTCTTTTGCCTAGATACACTAACTGAAATAGTAAGGTAGTTCTATTTATCAGAGATCATTTGGCGCAAGTGGTTAATGTTAATTTGATTTCCTGTGAGTCAATTTCCTTTGGATATAGTAAATAGGCTATTACCTGTTATTGACCTTTACTTTATTAACAATTTTTTTTGGAAAGACTATATATATATATATATTAAAAAACCTGCTCATTTTAAGTCTTTATTATAAAGAAAAATATCTTTATAATCAAATTGCAGTTGTTAGCAGAGGTTATATTTTAAAAATTAATGCTAAATAAAGACCATCATTGAGAGTAAATAAGCTGTTGCTTTTTAAAGTTAGTCTAAAAGATTTCCCCTTTCATGATCCTCGACGTGAACTGCCTGTTCCAGAACAGAGCAGCGTAGGAATAAAGCCTAGAGATGAAATGGTAAGTCTCTGGTTATGAAATCTTTGACTACAAAGATGTGGCTATCTATCAGGATGTACTCTACCTAGAATTTCAACTGTCTTTCAGGCAAGAGTGCACCACTAGCTCTTTGTATTTAAGAAATGCTGAACTCCTGTTTTATGAACACTCCTTCGTACATCTCTGACTTTATCTTTGCTGGCTGACTCAAACTGAGCAGGAAGAAATTACATCAACATTTGATCATGAAAGCAAAAAGTTTATTCATGTTTGAAACTACATATAACTACCACGAGGAAGACTTTTCAATCCAGGGTGTAATCCAGTTAGAAAGTAACACGAAACGTTTTAATACATTAGAATCACTGCCACAAATTATTTTCATGACTCAATCAGTTTCAGAATCGCATACAATACAAAAGAGAGAAAGAAAGGGCCCCCTGTTATACAGGGCGAAATATACAGTACTGAATACTGAAATCTGTATGCATTACAATTAGTTGTTGTTTTTTGCGTGGATTAGTAACAAGATGAAGAACATTCAAAATGTTTCTCAGTATTTACAACAGTTTTACTGTTTTGTGTTAAACCTAAGACCCAATGTTTCCACTTTAGCTTTTTAAAAGTTGCAAATGCAACCCTGATTTTTTTTTAAAAGATTACAATGTACATTACATTTCATGAGGGGAAACAAAGGGTTAATTACAAGATGCAAAAAGATAAGAAAGAGAC